TATATATATAATCAATTCAATTTTCACAGGTATGAAGTGATGAAAATGTTGGAGCTGCAATTAAAAAAGGTCTGTACATGCTAATACTAATGCACAATCATATCATGACCATTAATGGGTAAATATCTTGTTTTCCTTAAAAATAAAATACAATCAATAAACAGGATATGTGTTGCACATCTTTGTAATATATTTTTACAAAAAGACATGGGTTGTAATAACAGTGACCAGTGGCGGATCCTGGTCTTTCAAGAAGAGGAAGCTCAGTTTCGGCCTACATCATAAAATGTGTGGGTTATAAACTCTACCCTCCATTCCTTTTCCTATAGTTTATAGTATTTATTCATTTCATTTTTAAAAACAAAACATTACATAAAACAAAACAATACAAATAAAATTAAATTAAAGGCAGCAGAAGAAAAATCTTATATCTGCTCCTATTTACAAAAAAACATTAATTTCAAACAATAAACCAAATAAAACAAAACAAAAAAATTCAACCCCTCAAACAGTGACTCATACAAATTAAACAATTTCATATTTCTTTGACAATTTTGCTTTGATTATTTTTTTAAAGGAATTAATTGATCCAATGCTTTTATAATCATTTTTCAGATTATTCTATAGTCTTTTACAGCAGCCAATTCTGTCATACCAGGACAACTGAAAAGACCTGGGGTCGGATTTATAAAACTGGCGTACGCACAATTTGAGCCCAGAAACTTGCGTACGCCACTTTTTACACCAAGGTTGTGATTTATAAAATCCAAACTTGACGTGAAAATGTGCGGTGCCTCAGCCAACTCTGACCCATGTGTACGCTCATTTTGGGGACGGGAAACTGTGACACAGATGGTGAAGTGAGGAATTAGAGCCACACTGTGTAATGATCACTGTCAGATATTTAATTTACCTTCATCAGACTTAGATTTTTATTCATCTTTATCATCAGCTTTCTTAACAGTAATATTTATGCTTCTGCTGCTGCTGAGCCATGAGGACCTTTGAAATAAAAAACTTAAATCTTAAATAAAAGTTCCCGTGTGCAAATCCCAGACAGCAAAAGTCACGCTTTGGATACACACGCAGGGCGCATTACCTACATAGGGCTGTGCGTGTGTGTGTGTGTGAGCGCGCGAGCGCGCGCGGGGGTGCGGGGGTGTCTGCCGCGGATAACAGAGCAGGCAGGAGGACGAGAGGACGAGAAGAAGAGCGGGGGACTTACTTCTAATTTTATCTGACTTATTTAATTTTATTTTTATTGTTTTTATCGTCCTTCAGGCTCTGATGGAAAATTAATTTGAAGCTGAGTATTTTTTAAAATAAAAATCGTTAGATTACCCTAAAGCAAAATGATGGAAAATCTGTGTCAATTACAGACATTCTGTTCACGTGAGCAGCTGTCAGTCAGCACCTGTCAACCTCCAGACGCATGAAGGAGCGTGTCTGAACCAATC